GTGATATGAGAGGAAAAGTGTATTGGCTCTGGACCCCCCCAAGGTCAAGTTCTTGGCACAGTGGAGATTTATCTGCCCCAGAGGGACAGAGGGCAGAGAATGAGAGACAAAGACAGGAGACAGAGGACAAGGGAGACCCGGCATGGGTAATTGTCTCCAATGACAAAGTTCTGCCTCTGGATACAGGGACACAGACGTGTCACAGAGGAAAATGGTGGTTTATAAAGGGAGAAGGGGAAACCCCATGTTAGGATGAGGTGTTAATTAGGCGAGCCAAAGGAGAATTTTGATTGCTTGACTTCAATAGTTTGATAGCTGGACATTGATAGCCTCAGAAGGAGGAAGCAGCCATATTAGTGACCAGACCTTGATGGCTGTCTTTGGGAATGTAATCTGATGGTTTTTAGCAAGGCAGAGAGAAAGGGAGAGAAGGGCAAGGCCAGTGGGAGCCACACCCGCCAAGATGGAGCTGCCTAGATTCCCTTCACAGGCATGGAGGCAAACACCCAACCACAAAAAATAAAAATAAATAAATGTGGTTTTTAAAGCCATGCAGAATGGAGGGTGGGAATGGAGCTCAGAGGATGGAGCGTGTGCCTAGGATGTACAAGACCTTGAGTTCGATCCTCAATACCATATAAGCCATGCATGGTGGTGCATGTCTTTAATCAGTGGGGAGGTGGACTCAGGAGAAACAGAAGCTGAAGAACAACTTTGGCGACATTTAAAGCCAGTATGGCCTACATGAGACCCTATCTCAAAAACAAAGGTTTTAGATAACAAACGTGGTTACACAATGACAATTTGGTTGCTTCTTTATCATGAAAATAACATGATCTGTCCAAAGAAACACTTGACCCCATACCTGGAAGAAGGCATTTCTCAGCTTCTTCTCTCTGTGTTACCTGCATTAAACATTTATTTTTGTAGACCATCAGAACAGACATTGTGATGGATGTTGGCCACAGCATAAACCCAGCCCTGGACATAGGCCAGGTACGTGTAACTGTTTGTTCTTGTTTCCTGTTTGGGGAGCAGGAAGTGCAGTGAGTCTGAAGAGGAAACATCCCCTGGGGACCTTTACCCTGGTAGATGGGTCCGTGAAGGGTTCCGTCTGCCTCACTGGAGGAAGGCATGATGGTGTGTGCACAGGCCTGTGCAGACTCATTTAGAGTTACCATTGCAATGGCTACAACTAAAACCCAAAACCACCAACTTGGAGTCTAGCACTGAATGGGACATACAGAAATGGCTGTAGATGGGGTTCTGGGGACATTCTCCAAGATGCCCTGTAAGGCCCCTTGAACTGCAGTTCTCCAGGTCAGGCAAGCCACAGGCAGCGGGCATGCTCCTGGGAAGCCTCCTGGTGGGACACATTCCTTCTCTCCCCTCAGGTGGAAGGTGCATTTATTCAAGGAATGGGACTTTACACCATAGAGGAGCTGAGTTACTCCCCTCAGGGCGTTCTGTACAGCCGCGGTCCAAACCAGTACAAAATCCCCACCATCTGCGACATCCCCACAGAGATGCACGTCTCTTTCCTGCCGCCGTCTGAGCAATCCAACACCCTGTATTCCTCTAAGGTGAGCTGTGCTCGCTGACAGAGCCAAGGTTTCTTTGTTGTCTGTAGGGCAGGGAGACACTGGTCTACTTGGTGTTTGAGGTCTTTAGGGCACTACAGAAGGAGTCCAAAGTAAACATTTAATTATAAAGTAACTTAATGACATGTTGCAATATTTCCAATATGCCTAACATGGACTATCAGATCCCATTAGACTTTTTATATTGCAATCATCAACTTCATTTCTATATATGCTTGCTCCATTTGAAATCATTTTCTTAAGCTAGAATTCTAAATATAAAAATATTAAGGTCAGTGGGTAAAATACTTTTTCAAAAACAATATATGTATGGCAGTCTGAAGGTTTTAATATATGTGTGTGTGTGTATACTACATGTGTGTACATATATGCATATGAAACTATATTCAGAGAGGGAGGGGCATGTTGTGTCCTAACCTACCTGGCTCATTGCTCTCAAGGGTCTAGGAGAGTCTGGGGTCTTCCTGGGTTGTTCGGTGTTTTTTGCCATCCATGATGCAGTTAGCTCAGCGAGACAGGAGAGAGGCATCTCTGCACCACTGAGGTTCACAAGTCCACTCACTCCAGAGAAGATCCGCATGGCCTGTGAAGATACCTTCACAAAAATGGTATGTTGCACTCGAGATAAAAAAAATCATAAAATTCTTCATTTCTGTCCCCTGGCTCCATGGCCACGTTTCTTTAGCCCACTGCTGTGGTTTTCCAGGGAAGAAAAGACGGCAGGAACCCCTTAGGGCATGTGAGCTGGATGGAGTAGCTCTTGAACTTGTGCCCCTTGGTTATGGGTTTCCATCAGCCTGGCCTCGGTTGGTCTCCTGGGTGCTCGGGCCCTTATCACTTGAGGGGACCAGAAGGTTCGTTCTCTCGGTTTTATGTTTCCCCTGAGTCAGGCTTATGAGTTCAGGGGCTGTGGCTTGAACCTGGGGCACAGCCAGGAGTCAAGGTCACTGAGCTACAGTCCACTGTCACCCACGCAGGCCCTGGCAGCGTGAGGGAAAGACCCCCCTCCAGTGCAGCGTCCACGCTGAGCACACACTAGGGTTCTCTGCTCTCTGTACAGCAGCACGATTTGTGATATTTCACAGTAAAGGAAGCCACGCCACTCAGTTCCCTCCCCAGCTACAAGACAAGTTTCCTTCACTTGTGGGGGTGTCCCTTCCGCCCTTCTTCCATGCCTGCTCTGCATAGGATCCTGGGCCTCACCCTGGACAAACAGCCACCACCGACTCCACGTTTTCTTAGTCCTCTCCACACGGGGTGGAAAGCTCTCCACCCTTCTGCTGGATCCTGTCCAGGACGCCTCTGTACATCACGTGATGTGGTTCTCTGCTCTCTCATTGGCCCTGCTGCCTGTGCTGGTTTTAGCCTTCACTGTCTTCTGCTATTTATTTAACCTAAGTCACCAGCGTGTTTCTAACTGATAAGCATCCAAACTTGCTCTTTCTGTCCAGATTCCAAGGGATGAACCTGGATCCTTTGTTCCCTGGAGCATCCCTGTGTGAGTCAGATGCGAACTGCAGGGACTGGGTCCACCCGTCTGCGGGATGCACCTCCCGGTCTCTCTGCTGGAAGATGGTAACCATTAAAGCCAGATTTTCACAGCCCGGAATCATCCACAGCTGATTTTCATGAAGCTGATTTGGAAGTTTCACTTCAGGATGCTCCAGCATTATAAATTCTCTAAGTAATTATAAATCTTCTTGTAAATCGCACAGATATTAAATCGTTTCCTCTGAAGTGGTTTCATTCATTCATTTCTTCATTCATTCGTTATTCTGCCCCTCACATCTGTACAGTTAAATACGACAGCTAGGCTGTGCTCGCTTTTGGTATGTATACACCAACACAATTATACTATCTAATGAATGACGATTTTATAAATGATTTCTTTCCTATTGTGATCTGGAAATGTATTTATTTTTTCATTTCTCCCTGAGAGCAATCACCCCACTTTCCTAATCAGGACAGATATGGGCCCCGTATCTAAAGAGTCTCTGGGACCACGGGAGTCAGGAGGAGAGAGATAAATGAACTTCATCAAAACTTCAAAGGTGGCAACAGCATTCCCACTAATCAGGAGGGTGAGGAAGGAGGGTCTAGAGTCCAAGGCTAGCCTGGGCTACATAGCAAGACCGTGTCCCAACAAAACAAGGGCTAAGGATATAATTGGTGATGGAGTGTTTGTCTAGTGTGTTCAGGGCCCTTGGTTCATTTCCAGCACAGGAAGGAGAGAGAGAAACCCACAGAATAAGACAGAATTTTTGAAAATATATGACAAACGTCTTGTGTACAGAACACTTACAACTTAGAGCAAATCACTTTTCAGTGATTCAGGGCAAAGCACAAGTGGGAACGGAAGGAGGAAGCAGGCACATGGGCATGTGTAGACCCCAGCCAGCAGGCATCCCATGTCAGCCTCTCCCTCAGCTCACACTCCATGACGGAGCAGAGTGGACTGTCCCACTGATGGTTTGATGGGCACGGAGAGAGGTGCAGCTTGGTTCACGGGTTGGCAGGCAGCAGATGCAGGTGCAGACAGGATGGCAAGTGTGCTTGACAGTCTCTCTAGCAGTTGGTGAGGGGCACGTTTTCCCAATGGACAGAGTTAGATAGTGCATGTGATTATCACCTTCTTCTGGAACATGCAGGTGTCCCACGAATAGAATGATCGTGGGGTAACAGATGGTTTGGCCAGGTGTTCAGAGCGCAAGAAGAGACCGGTGGGGAGTGCAGACAAGAGCTGCATAAATGGAAGAGCGTGAGCCCGCTGTGTGAGGGGTTTTATATCACAGTGTCTTAGTTACTTCTCTAATGCTATGATAAAACATCAAGACCAAGACAACTTATAAAGGAAAGCATTTAATTCGGACTCCTGGTCCAGAGGATGGTAGAGTCGGTGATAGTCATGGCAGAGGACATGGCAGCAGGCATAGCCTTGCGCGGTAGCCAGGAGTTCAGATGCTGAGACGACAACCATGAGATGTGGGATCGAACTGGGAAGGTGTGGTCTTTTTAAACGTCAAGGCCCACCCCTGCGCTACATCTCCTCAAACAAGTCACACCTGCTAACCCTTCCCTTACCGTCCTGCCAGCTGCAGAACAAGCCATGAGCTATGTGAGCGTACAGGTGCCAAACACATTCAACCACAGCAGTCTGGCACCCGGGAGAAGGCCTCTGTGATCTAAGGTGCCAAACGAGCAGCTGGATAAACTGGCCCAGCCTCTCCCCTCCTCGGTCGCCCCAGTGCGGACACAGGTGTGAAGTTGTGGCGGCCATCACCATCCCAAGCATGCGCCTTTACACTCGCCGTCTTAAGGTTTCACAAGACACGGTGTCAGAAGGGTTCACCGCACGTGGGAGCGCGGAGCCCCCCACATCACGCATGCTCTGTGCTCCCAGACACCGCTCACGTGACAGTGCCGCCATGGCCGCCATGGCCTCAGAGACGCGGCTGGAGTGTCAGGTGGGACGTCCCGCCTCTCAGGAAGCAGATGTGTGATGGAAAAGACTTAGCAGTGTGCTGCCCTGGTGACCATAGGGGAGCAGAAAAGAGTCGGGCATTTATAGGTTATGCAGCTATCCGTTGTGTGCTTGAAAATTCCCCAAATAAGAAGGTAAACAACGCTGATAGAAAACAAAGGACACAAAACGAAATAGAAATGTTTAGTAAAAATAGAGCAAGGGGATCATGTCAGGTTCAGAAGAGGAACGCTAGGTACATCCTCGTGTAACCGGACCTTACTGGGGCACCGGGCACTTCTCTGGAATTATCATTAAGGAAAACATCAGTCTGGACCAGTAAGGCCAAGTGATGTTAAGGTGATTGTTCCACTTAGCTCTTCAGAGGTGGGTGGTGGCCTGGGGTCCTGTTTCCACTGAGGTTTCACCGCACATCTTGGGTGAAATGATCAAACCTCTTTGGGGTGCAATCTCCTCTCCTATACATTAAATGTACCGGTCCTTTTCACCGACCTGCTTTGTGGATCCAAGTGTCCCGACCCTAAGAGCTGGGTGGGGAGAAGGTCCATTCTGACACTGTAAGACATTGTTGAAGGAGCTGGCTATGTCTACTCTGGAAAGATCCGCACCTCTGCATGCTTAAGGTATTTGCTGCAAACTCTATTCTGTTTGCTTCTCTATGCCAAGGCTAATTAAGAAATAAAAACCAAAGATGCCAGTGGCTATTGTAAACCTTTTGACCTCATACCTTCCCAGAGATGGGCATGAAAACCAAGATGAACGCTTGGTCTGGCTGCAGGCTTGCGTCTGGTAGTGCGGCAAGGAAGTGATCATCCAAAGGAATCTGCTGTGCTCCTTCTTCCAAAGGAAAAGCATTTTATCAAAGCCCTATACCACTGTACCTTTTATTGATAATATCCAGTGGTGTTCTTATTCTAAAAACAAGTTACAAGTCGGGCAGTGGTGGTGCACACCTTTAATCCAAGCACTCGGGAGGCAGAGGCAGGCGGATCTCTCTGTGAGTTCAAGGCCAGCCTGGTCTTCTACAAAGTGAGTTTGGTTCCCGCCACCACTGTGGGCAGTTGACACCGGCCTGTAACTCAGGCTTCAATGGCTCTCTCTTACCTACACAGGCAGCGCCCCCCTCTGTCCTCACACAGACAAAAGCACATACATTAAAACACAAATAAGATTTAAGTAAGGTCTGGAGAACTAGGATATTAGCTCCTTTCCTGGTTACAGGCACAAATCCCTGACACATAGTGATTTAAGCGAGTGAGGTTTTCTTCAGGCTGCAGCTGGAAGGGATCAGGTCCACCGTGGTGGAGAAGGCATGGAGCAGGCATGCGAGGTCGGGGTCCCATCTCAGCCACAGTCAGGAAACAAGGTTCACGTTGGTGCCCAGCGCACAGGTGACCCCAGTCTGTGGGACAGGGCTGCTCTTCCCACCTTCCCTAGTCAGGAAAGCCAGGCACAACAGGCCCAGGGTTTGTCTGCTGCATGACAGCTACCATGGCCTGGGCGCTAAGATTACAGATAGTGGAAGTGATCAAGAAGCTGACGGCTAACGAGTATTCCTGAAATCAGCATGGCGGAGGAAATGGTAACAGGCAATAACGTTCAAACCCTCTTTCATCTTCATGTCTCCTCAACGCTCAAAACAGAAAGCAAGGTATCCTGCTGTACAAGATAACCAATGCAAGTGTGTTTATTTGGCTAAAAGGAAATGAGTTGAACTGCTAAATGACGTTCGGTAAGAATTTAAATTAACAAGTTATGTGATGGCCAATGCTTTTTAAAAAAAGTTTCCTATTTAAAATATAGTTATTGGATGCACACACACCTCAATGTAAGTATAGACAAACAATAATCCAGGAAAGTCCCCCAAAATAGAAAACAACAGAATACTTCATGTAAAAACCAAACATAATACTCCTTCATGTCTCATGTCTTGATCTTTGTTATGCTTCTGTTCTGACTTGTGCTTTGAGAACTCAGAAAAGCTAGGATTCATATCTCCTTCATCTTCTCATCTTGCTGCAAAGAAAAAGAAAAGGCAAGATTAGCAATAATGATTCCACACTAATTATCTCTTTCTGGAAGAACTGAGAAGAAAACCATTTCCAGGAAGCGGTTTCCTTAAACCATAGCTTTGTCCCAAGGATGAGGGGGGCACCGAGATGCCGAGCTTTTCTCTGTAGTTTTTGGCACCTATGATTGTTCTCCTACAAAGAGCACTGGGGGTTACTACATCAGGTCTCTTTAGCTCAGTGAACCACACTGTGGGTTTTTCTGGGACTTGCTGTTCTCATTCAACATCCTGGTCACCTTCAAGTGTGCCCTGGCTGGAGCACAAACCCTCAGCTCCTACTCTGTATGGCTGCACCATTGCTTCTGCGGAACCGCGAGCTCTCCTGTGTGCGCTGAGGTTTGCGGTGGCTTCTTCTGTTTGTGTGCTGTGAGCCAGCTGTGCGCTTCCCTCAGAACAGCAGCTGTGGGAAATGCATGAGGCCTGAGATGCAGGCGTCCTCCTCCAGAAAATATTTGTCTTCTTCTTACGACAAAAGGGGACACTCCAGGTCATGGGTCGCTCATCCTCCATCCTAAACTCCACGTCTGCACTTACCAGATAGTAGACCCCAGATGGAACCAGAATAAGGACTTAGTATTCATTATAAATTCTCAGGTTTGCTCTACGTTCAGGACTTTTACTCTGCTGCTCTGTTGAGACAGTCCCACTGCACCGAGAGAGTCTGCATAGACTTCATTTCAGTCCAGCCCTAGGCTTCATTCTGCCCCAGGACTGTAAGGCTGGGAATATAGGTCAGGCTCCCCTAGATAGACAGGTGGCTTCCGGTAAAAACCAGCTCCTGGTCCATCTACCTCTCTGGGTTCCTTCTCACCTCACTCTGATCTGAGTCTTTTTCTACTTTAGTGTTCGCTAAAACGTCCAGTTCACTTTTCCATTTCAGTATTTCACCCACATTCCTGTGTTCTCAGAAAGAGGGCTGACCCTGCTCCACAGTGCTGTGGGTGGGGTTAATCTCTTCTCTACATTGCGTGTGCATGCACACGTGTAAGGTGTGTGTGCTTTTCATGAAATGTATGTGTATAGCCTCAACATGAAAAGACAGAAAAGGCAGGCAGGGAGCAGATCCCTTCTCTTCCGTAACTCATCTCCAGAGACAATGACGCTACCACTCTGAGTAATTGAATTTGATAAAAATTTTAAACAAAGATCACAATATATTTTCAGGGAAATACTGAATAATAACAACCCAGCTGTGGAAACAGAACACTGCAGATGTGTCCGTCTCCAACAGACACCTCCGCACTCGAGGGCTGGAATGCAGGAGCGGATGGAACAAACATATTTTAAAAATCTTTATCTTTTAAGTTGCAAAGCATTGAAGATGAAAAAGAAGACGTTACAGTAAAATCCACAAGCCATAGTGAATATATAATCACGATTTCATATTAAATCAGAACAACCGTCTTTCTGAAACAAAGACCAAACAGGGGAGACAGATAGGGACACACAATACAAAGATTTCACTGCAGCACTTTTAATATAAGGAAGATCGGTCAGAGAAAAAGTAAGAGCTGAGGACAGAGAACACCTGGGCCAGGACCCCAGAATGTCAGGGGCAGGGACAGGGTGACAACTTCTCACCTACTGCTGGCAAGAACTGTAAATACGACAGGACGTTCTGTTACGGCTGCGGTGCTCTCCCCCAGGACTGGTGGGAACACACATCGGGACGATAAAGAGAAGCAGTGTGGCTGAACCTCACGGGTTTATGAAACCATCTAATCTAAGGCAAAGAATTATACATCACCCCAGGTGGTGAAGTGCTTCTAATGCGGATACGGGATAACAGTTATGAAATTATGTGCTAGAATTGAACAAACAAGCAAATACTTTCAGATAATGAGAACTAGGCTTCTCACTGATTGAGAAATTACAAATTAAGCAAAGGGGAATGCTAAAACGAACCCTGTGGTATTGAATTCAAACCAGAGGTATTAGATCAACTCTAATATATCATGGTTCCATTACACACCACATACAGGAATAAAAAAGCATATGTCTATGTGGATGGTGTATCAGTTTCCTCTGAGATTAGAACATTCCATCCTGCGGGTTCCTTAAACAGGAAGGTAAACGACTCAAAACAGCTTCAAGAAGTTCCTGAAACTGAGCAGATCCACTAGAGCAGTGGTTCTCACCTGTGGGCCACGACCCTCGGCGCGGGGATCACCTAAGACCATTGCAGAACACAGATGTTCAGGTATGAAGTAGCAATGACAATAATTTTATGGTGTGGGGGCCACCACAACACAAGGAACTCTATTCAAGGGGCACAGCATTAGGAAGGTTGAGAACCGTGACATCAGAGCAAGCAATCAACACGGAGAGTCTCACTCGGACGGAAGGAAGCTAAGCCTTGAAAAGGACTCGCACATCAGTCGAGCTGCAAAGACTCTGAAACCCCAGCCGCCTGGAAGCAGAGACCAGCTGAGCTGTCTGCAAGGGTGAGACCAGTGGAGGCACCTAAAGGACTCTCTCCAGCCTGTTGAGCTATCTGCACGCTACTCAGGGAGCTCCTGCTTCCCGGCTCTGTGGGCTTCACCCATGCTCAGTGGGCTTGGTGATGCAGCTGTGTCTGGGTCATTTCTCCTCTGTAAGTAACCCCTTACCGGTATAAGCACATTCCTGTAAGTGAAGTTGGACGTTGGTGGTACCTGTCTGTTGTGGGCTTCCTATCGGATGTGAGTAGATGTGTGGGTGCATCCCCCAGGAAAGCTGTGTCCCCAACACTGGCTTAACAGAAATACATATGCTTCCTAGTGCTGTCTGTGAGAGGGCCCAGCCACAATCCCTGGATAGACGGACTTGAGCCAGGACACCACCCACAATCCCCTCTACTGGCATTCGTGCCTTTATGTAAGCCCTTCCCGATGGTGACGGGAGGAACAGTGATTTGTGTCCAACCACGGGTGACACGGGTGAGAGAGAGGTCGTCTCACTTCTGAGAGCATATTTCACAGAAAAGACGATCTCACTGCAAGGTTCTGCTGTAGACTCTTTCTATAGCTCTGAGCCTTGTGGGAGAGGGAGGCTGGAAGTGAGAACAGTCCAGGGCCAAGATCAAGATGAGGAAAGTCTCCCGACAACATCTGTTAGGAGATCCTCAGAGAAGATCCAGTCTCTCTGACACCCTGATTGTGGTACTATAAAGCCCTAAGCCGAACCCCCATGAAGCCACGCCCAGAGTATGAGAAATGATAGTAGGTGCTGTCTTCTCAGCAGCTAGATTTACGGTGATGCTGTGCAGAATAGATAGGAAGACAGTACCACACAGTGTCAGCCATGAGCACACGGAGAGTATCATCTGATCCCAGGCCAGGGCAGGAAGAACATTATGATGACTGAACACCTGTGTGGTCAGACAGCAATGGACCGGTCAGAAGAGGAAGACGCCTTGTTGATGGAAATCAGAAGCAATTCTGAGGGCTCCCGATGCCAGAGTTGGGATCACGCAAGTAATGAAGTAAAGATGGACCACGTTGGATTCCAACTAGAATATAACAGCAGCTATTGGTTCACCTCACCGTGTCAATATTAAGAAAGAAAGGACACTATTTCCTCAGAGAAGCAGAACAGAAACTCAGCGATGCTCTCACGCATCACACTGGAATGATTTCAAGCAAACCCTACTAAAAATATTAAAATCAAAAAGCAAAATTTTGTGGAACAGGATGTATGTACTCAAAGCATCTCCCCCAATCCTTAAGGAAAAAATAAAATTTTCACACCGTAGAAACCCAGCAGGTCAGATCAAGATGAGCCTTCCCTGCTAGTGGAACAGACCGACATAGCGAAGCCCTGACATGTTGCGCCGAGGATGTGTCCTTCGCGTGGAACTCATTCAGAAAAGCATCACACGTGTAATTATGAGAACAAACAGGAACAATCCCCAAGCCTCAATTTGTGGATATTCTAACAAAATAACTGACCTGCGATCTTCAAGTGCAAGGAGAACAAAAGGATTAGGGAACCGGCAGGTGGGGTAGCCTAAGGAGAAACAGAGGCTGAACGAAACACAGGGCACAGACGAGTCCTAATGCAGAGAAAGGCCATGAGCCGCGTGCAATTGGCCAGCAAGTACATGGAGAGATGATGGAGGAAGGTCATTGGCTAATAAAGGAACTGCGTTGGCCCATTTTATTGGTTAGAGGATAGGTGGGAGGAGTAAACAGAACAGAACGCTGGAAGGAAGAGGAAGTGAGCTCAGAGACTCCACAGCTCTGCTTTCCGGAGCAGACCCCTCAGCAGAGACGCCATGCCCCATTCCCGGGCAGACACACGCCATGAAGCTCCGACCCAGGATGGACTAGGCTAGAATCTCCCCGGTAAGCGCACCTTGGGGTGCCATACACAGATGATTAGAAATGGGCTAAATTAATATGTGAGAATTAGCCTAGAAGAGAATGGGCCAAGCAGTGATTAAATGAATACAGTTTGTGTGTTGTTATTTCGGGGCATAAGCTAGCCGAGCAGGCGGCCGGGGTGCTGGGAACGCAGCCCTGCCGCCCTTATTACTTCAGAGAGATGTTCGGCAACCCTGCTCACCAGAGCTTCACAGAGAGGCTAGAACCAGAGAGCCAAACAAGCGATGAGCGTGAAAGGAACTGGATTCTAACACAGGGTGGCAATGTAAAACAGTCTGGCTCCGCACACAATTTCCAGCCTGGGTGTAAGATCAGAGAGAAATCAAAACATGGCTGTGCAAGCATTTACATACCACCTTCCAGACCGCATCGTTCCTGACAGCGGGAACGACAGGGAAGAGAAATGAACAAAGGTCCGGTCCAATCCCGATAACGGGGGAGCGGAACTGTGGTCTGGACACACAGCAAAACGCTGTTCATAGAGCACAGGACGAATGCTTGCTCATCTACCACATGGAGGAGCCCAGAAAACCCCGTGGTAGCAGAGTAAGCCAGTCTCAGCGTCTAGATACGATTGTGCTCACACACGTCCAGAACAGAGGTGGCTACAGCTAGGAAGTAGAACAGTTAACTCCAGCTAGAAGGTGCACAGAGGACAGGATTCCTTTCTCGGATAAGGAAATGTTCTAAATTGATTGTAGTAGTGGCTGTACATACTCGTGAGAGGGTTTTCTTGGTGGTGTTCAGAACTGAATCCATGGCAAGGGCTCACACACTCAAGTATGACCTGCATTCCTTATCTGTGCGCATTTAAAAACCTATGATTCTGTGCACTTCAAAATGGGGCAACATATAGTATACCCCCAAAGACACAGTGTACATCTCAAAAAATCTAAGTTGTAAAAACCCCTTGGCCCTGCCTTCCCATCTCACCCTCTGTGGAGTACTGCCACCTGCTGGTTCCTGCTTGGAAATGCCAGACAGAATCATCAGGGTTTGACAGGAGGAGCAAACACTAAAATGACCCAAAGGACATTTTGTGATCATTTTCTCCAGCTTATGGAAAATATTTGTACACAATAGGATTTTTTTGAGAATTTTGAGAAAAAACTGATTTTATGAGATAGGCTACTTGACTTAGTTTTAAAAACCTGAGATTTCTGAAGAAAACAATGTCAACAGTCATTGGGGATGAAGGAAATGTGCAAAGAGTGGTTATTAGAAGGCAGTAAGAATTTATAGAGTTTTGTGAACTACAGTCTCATGCAACCAGGGCGAGGTCTACCCTGAGCTGTAACCCAGTCCTGCCGCATCCTAATGCGGTAACTTCGTTAAGAAATTCCTGAGTGTGCACGTGTGTGTGCATGCGTGCGTGTATGTAAGAGGGAGAACGAGAGAGTACATACATATGAGTGTGCATATGTGTGTGTGTAGAGCCCAGATGGACGTCAGTGTCAAGATGCCTTCCTCGGCTGGCTCTCTCTGAGCTGGGGTCTCCCACTGAACTTAGATCTGCTAGACCGGCTGGCCAGCAAGCACGGGAACCCTGCTGTCTGCCCCTCCCTCTCCAGGGTTGGGAAGACAGGCGCATGCTGCCCTGCCTGACTTGTACGCGATTTCTGGGGCTCTGAACTCAGGTCCTCGTGTGTCTTCTAGCTCTTTACTGATGAAGTCATCTCTCCGGCCCCAGAAAAACCTTATTCTTTAAAGACAAACACATAAGTGTTGTGTGAATGAAAATCATTCAGCATCAGAGACCTGCTTTAGAAGCACAGCTGAATCAAACCCAGCACACTGTCGATGACTACTAAAGCTGGGGGGGGGAGGAACTGGGTAAAGTGGCTACAAGTCTTTCTCTGCTAGTGTACATTTACAGTGAAAAAAATTAAGAAAAAAAATTGTTTCTCTTCGGGACCAGAGGAAATATAAGCCACACTGACTTCTAGGGAGCAACGCAGGAAATAAATGTGGGTAATAGCTATGAAAACAGTGGTTGGTAAATTGTATTCAACAAATATAAAAAATTATAGCTACCAATTAAAGTTTCTAAAATGACAGCAGTAAGATGGAAATTAACTGAAACTAATTTAAAACCAGAGCTGAAAGAGAGAGGAGAAGTTTCAATTGATGGCCTCTCTCCCAAGTTCATCCTGCGTACATATGAACATGTTTCAGGAGTGTTCAACACTAATCCAGGCCAAGCGCTTCTCGAAGTACAGTGACAAGCCCTGCCACACTTGCCTTACGAGGTTCGGCTCTCTCAGGTTGAGAGGGGCGCACTGCCTTTTCCTTCTCGTCTGCTCTGCAGCCTGGTCTTCTGACCCGTTCTTGGGGTTAGCGGGGTTGCTTGACACAGAACTGGTGTCCACCAAGTCTGGGAATATTCCTCTACCTGAAAGGAATATTTTCACAAATATTTGTAAAAGCATATATAAAGATATGGAAATAAGTATGAAGTAAATAAATACAGTTGGCCTAGCAAAGAGAACACATTTTAAGACATAAAATTCATTTTGTGAAGAAAACGGGCTTACTTACTTAGGGTTCTCACTACTGTGACAGAGACCCTGGTCATAAACACCGTGGGCAGGGCAGGACCTACTTCACTCACAGTCCGTCACGGGAGGCTTCAGGGAAGGAACATGGAGGCGGGAGCACATGCAGAGGCCATGGAGGGCGCTGATTACTGGTTTGCTCCTCTTTGTTCAGCCTGCTTTCTTTTTTTTTTTTTTTTTTTTAATTTAATTTTTTTTAATTTATTTATTTATTAAGGATTTCTGTCTCGTCCCCACAACCGCTTCCCATTTCCCTCCCCCTCCCCCGATCAAGTCCCCCCCCCCTCATCTGCTCGAAGAGCAATCAGGGTTCCCTGACCTGTGGGAAGCCCAAGGACTGCCCACCTCTATCCAGGTCTCGTAAGGTGAGCATTCAAACTGCCTAGGCTCCCACAAAGCCAGTACGTGCAGTAGGATCAAAAACCCACTGCAATTGTTCTTGAATTCTCAGTATTCCTCATTGTCCGCTATGTTCAGCTAGTCCGGATTTATCCCATGCTTTTTCAGACCTAGGCCAGCTGGCCTTGGTGAGATCCCAATAGAACATCCCCATTGTCTTAGTGTGTGGGTGCACCCCTCGTGGTCCTGAGTTCCTTGCTCGTGCTCCGTCTCCTTCTGCTCCTGATTTGGACCTTGAGATTTCTATCCGGTGCTCCCGTGTGGGTCTCTGTCTCTGTCTCCTTTCATCGCCTGATGAAGGTTAATATTCCTGAGGATGCCTATGTGTTTGTCTTTGGATTCACCTTATTTAGCTTCTCTAGGAACATGAATTATAGGCTCAATGTCCTTTATTTATGGCTAGAAACCAAATATGAGTGAGTACATCCCATGTTCCTCTTTTTGGGTCTGGCTTACCTCACTCAGGATAGTGTTTTCTATTTCCATCCATTTGTATGCAAAATTCAAGAAGTCCTTGTTTTTTACTGCTGAGTAATACTCTAATATGTATATATTCCATACTTCCTTCATCCATTCTTCCGTTGAAGGGCATCTAGGTTGTTTCCAGGTTCTGGCTATTACAAACAATGCTGCCATAGAAACCCAAAACCAGCAGCCCAGGGAGGCCACTACCAACAACAACAACGGACTGGGCCCTCACCATCAATCACTAATCAAGAAACTGCAATTTAGGTTTGCCTACAGAAGGCATTTTCTCAGCTGGGAGTCCCTTGCACAACTGACTCTAGCTTGTGTCAAGCTGAACTAAAACTAGCCAGCACACCACTAACAAGGGCTACAATGTTGCAGCTCTAAAACACAAAAGTTCTTCATGTTCAACCCTTCCTGAACCTACAGCAATCTCTGCACACTCATTCACACACACACACAGCTCTGGCTACTCGGTGTGACTGTCACCTGGGGGCAGACAAAGAGGAGTTATTCTTCTAACATATCCTACCACCCGGACTCTTGTGACTCTTTTACCTAGGGCCCCTTTTATCTAGACTAGCCTTAGCCTGTAAATTCCAGTGTTGTATAGACACACTGAAATGTTGGTCCCAAGTAGAAAAATTTTTACATACAAATGTCTAATGCTACAAAATCTTACAAACTCTCTGATGACAAAGAAAATCTTTATGACTGGGCTTTCAGGAATAAGTGGGGTAAGTAGTTTTATATAAAGCATGATTATAGTATATGTTTAAAGATCCATAATGGTAAATGGTGACAGCCAGTTTCAGCAAATTTTTTCCCATCGTTGTATTTGGTTATTGGTAATAACTATTATTTTTTATAAGCAGGGTTAAACAAAAGTAAACACTAATGCTGAAAGTCTTGACAACCCATCAGTCTACAGTGCGACCTACATGATCATCTCTGCAGCTCACTGTCTGCTTTACAAACGACTTCCCGCACACTGCGCGGCGACCCTTACATATCTGTGTGCCCACCCTGCGGGGAGGAGCAGTCTTACTGCTGCTCTGACCACACGAACTGAAGGCACCTTCCCAAACTCACAGTTTCCCTCCCTAGAATAAATTCAGTGCAATTAGCCACCACAAGCATTTACGACATTTAATCCCCTTCCAACACACGAAGAGAGGTGTGATCTGCCCCACACCATCATTAGATAACGCCTAGTAAAGCCTGAATCGGGGTTTAGATGCAAATGTGCAAGAGAATCTGTTACCCTCTCAACGTACAAACCTTTCATTTTTCTGTTTCCATATGTGCAGTCATATACTGCTTTAAAATTTTTGCAAAACTGCCCATTTCAAAAGCAAATACACCAGTGGTCAAGTGAAAAGAACATAACTCTAAAACCTTGGCCTACCTATTCCGGACTTCTGCCTTCTGCAGCAGCTTTTCTGAGTCCTCTCCTTTGTCTTGTCAGGAGCAGGCCCAGGCCCGCCTGCTGGAAAGATGCTCGCACTCTCCAGGAAGGAACTTCCTTCCATCAGCAGAGTTTTACAAGAAGTCGTCGTCAGAGGCAGTGAGCTCTCCCACATGTCGTCAAAGGAAGAATTCTGTATGTTAGAGGAGCGCATCTGAGATAAAGGTTTCAACGCCTTTGGGCAGAAGTCCAGTTTATTCTTGGCAATTTTCCCATCCTCCAAGTAGTTTTCCTTATCGGCCTGCTGGGAGTCGCCTGACTTTGTGTGGTCAGTGCTGGCTGTCATTTCCACCGCCCCATGGGTATCTGAAGGAAGAGCTAGGGGCCTCTTTCTTTTCTTTGATTTGGATGTCACTCTATCTCTTCTTTTGGCTGGGCAACTTCCTCCTTTGGCCACGCCCAAAGAGCCGGCATCTCCCAGTGCAAGCACAGAGCTCTCTTCCTGGCTCTTTGGTGGGTTAGTGGGCTCTCCGGGACCAGCATCTGGTTCTCCAGGACCAGCATCTGTTCCGTTCCTGCCCTGGGGTGATCCAGACTCCAAGGCGACAGACTGCTGTGAGGCACCTGGAAGCTGTGAAGTATGTTCGCTCTTCCCTCCTGTCAAGATGTTCTCGGCTATGCCTGCAAAGTCTCTCTGCTTTTTAACTAGTACACACGAATCTGGGATTGGCTCACCATTTCCCTCTTTATTACTCTTGATTCCTCCAGAGTAGGAACTCGTAACAACTTGGTCTTTGACACAGCTCTTAAAGCCATTCACGTCTGCATTAGTATTCTCGTGTATCTGGCTCATTTGAGAAACAATTTCTGATTTATTGACCTTCTGGCAGACCTTATTTAATGGGTCATGCACACTTCCTTCATCATTTTCATGCATTTGGTTGGTTTTAGAAATTATTTCTGTCTTTCGAAGTGCCTTTTGTCTAGGCTTCTTATCTTCTTTTGAGTCCTTGTGACTAGCAGGTGGCACCTCATGGTCGTGCACTCTCATCCCCAGGAGCGTGTGACTCTTACTCTCATATAACTTTGCACTATCTTTGTTACAAATGGCAGGCACTTCAAACTTACTAAAATCTTTTAAGGTTCGGGGAATGTCTTTATCCTTTTGAGGTAAGAAAGACTCGTCCATTTCTGAACAATGACCACCTTCGTCATTACTAAAATTATTCACCTTGGAGATTACTTCTGTCTTGCGATTTACCTTGTGCCTAGGGATCCTGCTAACATGGGACTCTATCCAAGCAGGGTGCACACTGGTGGTTTGCTTGGACAGATCCAGAACATTCTGCGCCCGACAATCATGTAAGCGTCCGTTGTTTCTTGCGACAAGTGGAGGTGCTTCTAACCCTTCTGCAGCGTCGACGGCTGCACGGGTGGACTCTTTACTCGCTGGGGTTTGGAGGGGGACGTCTTTGTCAGTATCCTCATATATTTGGTTCATACTAGAAATTATTTTTGTCCTCCGATTTATTTTCGGCTTAGGATTATTTAGCTTGGACTGAATGTGCTGCACACTGACCAACTTTTTCAAGTCCAACATAGTCTGGGTCTCAAAGTCGCATACAGTTTTGTTATCTTTCGTGGAAAGATCAGCTCTATGGAATTCATTTGCCACGTCTAGCTTTTCAGAACTGGCCTCTTCGTCCTTCTGGTTTGGATATAAATGATCCTTTTCTGAGTTACGAATCACAAATGTCTGTCGAGAAGGCTTATTTTTATTACAATGCGGGGCGTTCTGACATTGATCAAACTCACTACCTTGAAGGAGTCTGACTGAACATGGAGAGAAAGGGCGTGTTTCCTCTTGCTCGCCTGTCGTGCGTCTTTGTTTCCTCTTTTTATTTTGGATGGTCTCTTGATCCAAGCTGCTCGGGAGGGTTATTTCCTTCAGCATGTTTGCCTGAGGTGGCTCAGTATCGGCAATACAATTTGGATCTTCCGAGTCCCCTCTGCCACCTAAGACAACAGAGCCTCGTTCTGGTCCGTTTTCCGTCTTTCCCTCCGCACCCATTTCCGAACTACCTTTACATTTTCTCTTGGCTCTTTCTCTCCTTTTGTCAGAGCTTGGATCTTTTACTTTTCTGAACGCTTCCTTTCCACAATCTGTCTTTTTCTTCCTTTGATTTTTATTGCTTTTTGAAATTGCAATGATTTTGTTCACTTCACTGGCAGTTAAATCCATGTCGGCGTTTTCGTACACAGATTCTCGCAACTGAAACCCATGGGTGTTCCGCACTGTGGCCACGGGCTGTGTCTGAGGGTCGCTGGCAGCCTCAGCAGGGAAGCGGGGAGAACACTGTGTTTCTCTTTGCATTTTAGTACTGGTTTCACTAACACAACCATTTATCTCAACGTCCCAGTTGAACCCTGGACTGGACATCTGTGGGTAACCTGAGTCTGTGCCGTGCAGATTCTCTGCAGAAGACCCGCGCTTTCTCCTCTCAGTCACGTTGTTAAGTGACGGTTTTTCCCTGCTGAGGCAGGAAGATGGCGCAGTTTTCACCTCACTCAGAGGACTCTTAGGGCTTTGGGTTGAGTCATCATGGCTTTCTGCAAAATAAAGAAATATAAAAGTAAGTATGCTACAGTAAACAAAACATACTTGGCTATTGCCGAGAAAACTTCTGCTAAGCCGTTCTTCTCAGATCCTTGCATCTGTTAACTGTGTAACGCTGACCACAGTTAGTCCGGTAGCCAAGTTCCTAGAAGCTGTGCTGGCGCCACTGTTGGGCACAGGCCATCCTAATCCTGAGCAGGGTGCGGCTGTGTCCATTCTCATGGATGTGAGGTAAAGTGGGACGTGGGAGCGCTCCATTATCCTAGTTAATGTTTCTCAGCAGGCTCTGAGCTCAACAGTTAGGGTTCCGTGATCCAGTCTGAAAATCTCCAGCCAATCTGTGAGCACCGCAGACTACAGCCCAGGACCGTCAATCAGGAAGACGTGTAAATGGAATGTCTTCTCAGTGAGCCAGGATCAAGCTCATTAGCACGACAGTCTCGTTTCTGGCACTCTGACTAAACAGACACTAGCACTTAAGGGAGTTTATTCAGCTCACAGTTCTTGTTACAGTTCACCCTCGCCAGGAAGTCAAAGCAGCAGGACCCTGAAACGGAAGTGCCCTCCCCCTCCGCAGAAGAGTCAATGGAGGGTCACTCGCACTCAGCTGGCCTTCTCCACTTGAAAGGTCAAGCATTGCCTACCTGGGGAATGGCGCCACCTACAGGGGACGAGTCCTCCCAACTCAATACAACCAAAACAATCCTCCACAGACCTGCCATGGCAACCCTCCTCGCAGGCAATCTCTCACTGAGATCACCTCTCCAGGGCCTCTAGATTATGTCAGGTTGGCAACTAAAAACTTATCATCATAACCAGTAACTGGTTGTGATTAAAAAAGTCACTATATCCATCTACACCCCCACTTTTCAGATCCATGAAAAGGATTAGATAAGACTAAATCAATGTAGTAGAGTTGTTCAAATCACGATAAACAAAGTGGGAGTCTTAGTCCTGCTCATTTTTCAAGATTGCTTCCAGACTAACAGTCTTAGGTCCCAGAGGATGTGACATTTGTGGAGCTTCTTTCTTCTAGTTGAAATTTTCACCAGCAGTTTTAAGTGTTAGAAGTTGGAAAGTACAAGTTAGTAATGCAAGAGACCTGGCTGACTGTGGCAGACTGAACATGACTGGCCCATAGTCTCAGGGTGTGGACCTACGAAGTGTGGCCTTGTTGGAAGAAGCGTATCACTGTGGGGGTGGGCTCTGAGGTCTCCTATGCTCAAGATACGGCCCAGTGACACAGTTCACTTTCCTGTTGTCTACTTCTCCAGCTGCATGCTCCCTGCCATGATGATGACGGACTAAACCTCTGAAACCATAAGCTAACCACCTCAGTGAAATGTCTTCCTTTATTAGAGTTGCCTTAGTCAGGGTGTCTCTTCACAGCTATCGAAACCGGAACTAAGACACCAACTCATGAGCTTTTTAGACATTGTTATCTTCAAGAAAGTCTGATGAACAACTACATAAAGTTTCTAAAACAATCCTACCTTTAGGATGAACATCAACACTAGAAGAAGTTTGTTTTGAATAACTGGAGACACATGTATTCTGGTTATCTTTCGTGGGAAGCAATATTTCCAAGTCACACTGGCGTAAGGACAAAGATTGTCTTGAGAGCGAGGAGGTGACGTCAGGTGACGTTTTTGATGCAATTCTGCTGTAACACTTTGTTCTCCATTCATCGTCGTCATTTTCTGAAGTTAATAGAACCCTAAAGGCAAGTGAAAAATCAGACAAGAAATTCTGTGTTTTATAAAAATCGTATAGAAAAAAAAAGATACCACTGTACATCTGCCAATAATCTGACCTGTTTCTTAGAAGAAAAGCAAAAATTATGTGAAGAAAAAGAAAACAGTAATAAGCAAAACATAGGGATTATTAAAGAACTGGGATAGCAGCTGGAGTGATGGCCGAGCAGCTAAGAAAAGGTACTGCTCATCCCGCGGACCTAAGTGTGGTTCCCTCCACCCAGGCTGGGCTACTCCTGCTCCAGAAGGATCTGTCTCCAGTCTGCATGAATTAAAGATAATAAAATATGCTAAAAGAAATGAGATACAATCTAAATTTCTCTGCAAGAAAACTTAGATAACTTTCCTTAAGTTCTTAAGGAAAAATAATCCTTTATGATATACTTCCAGAAAACAGAATTTGTATCAATCAGCGCTACGAAAATACCTAACCCTGAAAAATAATTGCAATAAAAAAATTATGAATAATTTTCATTGTAACACACATGCAAACACCTTTAAACAACAACTGTGAGTCTGTGATTCAGAAAAACAATGCAATGGAGGGTCAATATTTAAAAATCGATCACTGAGAGACACGGCCCAGCACGTCAGCGTATTTGCTGTGCAAAGCCTGAAGACCTGAGTTCAATTCCTAGAACCCATTACAGAGAGATTCCACAAAGCTGTCCTGACATCCGCAGACACGTCATGTGCTTGCACACCCAGACACACATCATGTGCACAAACACACACACTAATAATAATGAACCAATCATTGTATTCTGTTACATGAATAGGAAATGTAAAAGCTCATTGCACTAACAGAGAAAAGTCGTCTTTTCAACAGTGGCAGGAAAAGCCCTCGTTTAACTCTGCAGCTCATGAAGAAACTTTTACTAACTAGCAACAAAGGAATTTTATCTGTGTTTTGTTTCCTGAGACAGCTGACTGTGCAGACTGACTGACTGCACTTTATTAGTTATAATTTGACCCTTTAGATGATGGAGAAGAAATGGAAGAATCCTTTAAAGAGAAGTTAAAACCTTGACAAATAGGAAATCTGAATGCCCTTGTTAGTAATGAAATGGGATATTGTCAAAAACTTTTGACAAAAAACTAACAAACAAACAAAAAACCCAACAACTGCAGGCGTAGGCC